TAATTGTTCATCTTATTAATAAATGTTTCACTGAGTTCTTGTACAAGTTCCGATACAGGTGTATGGACTTGTAGGGGCTCTAAATATACAGAGTAGATTTAGAGCCGGAAGTATTTGTTGCACAAAGGCGAACAGCAATAAACGACAACACAACAATTATACAGGCGATTCTTATGTGTTGCTAATTAGGAACTGGTGGTGGTTGGTTAAAATAAAACACTTGCTTAATTTAAAAGACCCTGGCGGTCTGAATTAATGTTTTATTTCTTTTTAAAACAATTCCCAATGGTTTTGCGGCAATGTATTTTATCTTTCTGCTTCTTCTTCCTTACGGATCGTTCTTCTTTGATGACGATAGGTAATAGTTTAGGTACCGATTAATAGACTTATCGATGACATAATCGGCGGAACCTCAAGAGTTCTATTAAGCAGAAAATCAAACATATTTTTATTCCTCCAATTAAAAAATATCCTAAATTCAATGAAACATTTTCATGAATGCAATGAAATTGCCAAGTTTTTAGTTTTCATTGTTGTCATGAAATAGTTTCATTACTGATATATAGACCTCGGATTTTTGCATATTTTTTATGCTTTATCCGATTGGACTCAAATTTTGTATTTAGGCGTTTCATGCTTTAATTGATCGATATTTGGGGTCATGTCAAAAATATGCAAAAAATATGCAAAAAATATGCAAAATATATGCAAAAAATATGCAAAATATATGCAAAAAATATGCAAAATATGCAAAAAATATGCAAAATATGCAAAAAATATGCAAAATATGCAAAAAATATGCAAAATATGCAAAAAATATGCAAAATATGCAAAAAATATGCAAAATATGCAAAAATATGCAAAATATATGCAAAAAATATGCAAAATATGCAAAAAATATGCAAAATATGCAAAAAATATGCAAAATATGCAAAAAATATGCAAAATATGCAAAAAATATGCAAAATATGCAAAAAATATGCAAAATATGCAAAAATATGCAAAATATGCACGGTATGCTAGGTCGATATGCGATAAATATATGCAAAAAATATACAAAATATGCATTGTCGATATGCAAAATATGCAAAAATATGCAAAATATGCAAAAATATGCAAAATATGCAAAAATATGCAAAATATGCAAAAATATGCAAAAATATGCAAAATATGCAAAAATATGCAAAATATGCAAAATATATGCAAAATATATGCAAACATATGCAAAATATGCAAAAATATGCAAAATATGCAAACATATGCAAAATATGCAAAAATATGCAAAATATATGCAAAATATATGCAAAATATGCAAAAATATGCAAAATATGCAAAATAAAAAAATGCAAAAATATTCAAAATAAGACAAAATATGCACAAATATGCAAAATATGCAAAAATATTCAAAATATATGCAAAATATATGCAAAATATGCAAACATATGCAAAATATGAAAAATATGCAATCATATGCAAAATATGCGATAAATATATGCAAAAAATATACAAAATATGCATTGTCGATATGCAAAATATGCAAAAATATGCAAAATATGCAAAAATATGCAAAATATGCAAAAATATGCAAAATATGCAAAAATATGCAAAATATGCAAAAATATGCAAAATATGCAAAAATATGCAAAATATGCAAAATATGCAAAATATATGCAAAATATGCAAAATATGCAAAAATATGCAAAATATGCAAAAATATGCAAAAATATGCAAAATATGCAAAAATATCCAAAATATGCAAAAATATGCAAAATATGCAAAATATATGCAAAATATGCAAAATATGCACAAATATGCAAAATATGCAAAATATATGCAAAATATGCAAACATATGCAAAATATGCAAAATATGCAAAATATGCAAAAATATATGCAAAATATGCAAAAAATGCAAAAATATTCAAAATATATGCACAAATATGCAAAATATGCAAAAATATGCAAAATATGCAAAATATATGCAAAATATGCAAACATATGCAAAATATGCAAAAATATGCAAAATATGCAAACATATGCAAAATATGCAAAAAATGCAAAAATATTCAAAATATATGCAAAATATGCAAAAATATGCAAAATATGCAAAAATATGCAAAATATGCAAAAATATGCAAAATATATGCAAAATATGCAAAAATATGCAAAATATGCAAAAATATGCAAAAATATGCAAAATATGCAAAAATATGCAAATATGCAAAAATATGCAAAATATATGCAAAATATGCAAAATATGCACAAATATGCAAAATATGCAAAATATATGCAAAATATGCAAACATATGCAAAATATGCAAAAATATGCAAAATATGCAAAAAATGCAAAAATATTCAAAATATATGCACAAATATGCAAAATATGCAAAAATATGCAAAATATGCAAAATATATGCAAAATATGCAAACATATGCAAAATATGCAAAATATGCAAACATATGCAAAATATGCAAAAAATGCAAAAATATTCAAAATATATGCAAAATATGCACAAATATGCAAAATATGCAAAAATATGCAAAATATGCAAAATATATGCAAAATATGCACAAATATGCAAAATATGCAAAATATATGCAAAATATGCAAACATATGCAAAATATGCAAAAATATGCAAAATATGCAAAAAATGCAAAAATATTCAAAATATATGCACAAATATGCAAAATATGCAAAAATATGCAAAATATGCAAAATATATGCAAAATATGCAAACATATGCAAAATATGCAAAAATATGCAAAATATGCAAACATATGCAAAATATGCAAAAAATGCAAAAATATTCAAAATATATGCAAAATATGCACAAATATGCAAAATATGCAAAAATATTCAAAATATATGCAAAATATATGCAAAATATGCAAAAATATGCAAAAATATGCAAAATATGCAATCATATGCAAAATATGCAAAAAATGCAAAATATATGCAAAATATGCAATCATATGCAAAAATATGCAAAATATGCAATCATATGCAAAATATGCAAAATATGCAAAAAATGCAAAATATATGCAAAATATGCAGAAATATGCAAAATATATGCAAAATATGCAAACATATGCAAAATATATGCACGGTATGCTAGGTCGCAATATTAAAGATAGAACTTTGAAATTTTGCACATATATTATTATTACTCCTAGGATGTTTGGTATTGGAAATGGGATATATCGGTCCACGTTTTAGTATATCGCCATATAATAGTTATATATGTTTGCATGTTTTATACATATATTTAGCAAATTTTTCATAATGCCCCAAAAATCTAACAGTTGAACCATGAAACGCATACATGCACAATTAGATTTCTATAGGTTAAAAATAAAGAAAGCACACAAATTCGAAAACTAACCTGAAATTTTTTTTTTTGATTAAAATGATTGCATATGTGAAATATGTTGCTCATATTTGCACATATTTTGCATATTTTTGCCTATATTTTTCATATTTTTTGCATATTTTGCATATGTTTGCATATTTTGCATATGTTTGCATATTTTGCATATATTTTGCATATTTTTGCATATTTTGCATATTTTTTGCATATTTTGCATTTTTTGCATATATTTTGCATATTTTTGCATATTTTGCATATATTTGCATATTTTTCCATATTTTGCATAGTTTTGCATATTCTGCATATTTTTGCATATTTTGCATATTTTGGCATATTTATAGCATATCGACCTAGCATACCGTGCATATTTTTTGCATATATTTTGCATATTTATCGCATATCGACCTAGCATACCGTGCATATTTTTTGCATATTTTGCATATTTTTGCATATTTTAGCATATATTTTGCATATTTTATGCATATATTTTGCATATTTATTGCATATCGACCTAGCATATTTTGCATATTTTGCATATATTTTGCATATTTTGCATATTTTTTGCATATTTTGCATATATTTTGCATATTTTGCATATTTTGCATATTTTTTGCATATTTTGCATATTTTTTGCATATCTCGTGCATATGCAAAATATGCAAATATGCAAAAAATTAAAAAATATGAACCCTTCAAATAATTCTAAATCCTTTGAAACGAATTTGTGTCCAATCAGAATTTCGATATCTTCATTATTAAAAAATATGCAAATATGCAAAATCCGAGGTCTACTGATATAAAATAGTACTACTGATTTTTTATTATTGTAATATAACTTTTTAATTTTTTTTTTTTTTTTTGCGGTATGAGAAAACTTTAAATATTTGTTTTCATAAATATTATGAAATGTTTCATAACATCGATGTAACTATGGATTAGATTAATGTAAAATTATTGATAACCGTTCAATGATTCAATGAAATGTTTTAATAGGATTTTTAAATAGAATAAAAAGAATTATGAGGCACGGAATGATTACGACTTCTTAACAGTGACATTTTGTTAATTTAAAAATTATATTTTTCGCAAATAGGAATTGAGTTCTTAATATTAAAGGCATAAATATTTTTTTAAAAATTCAAAATTTCGTAGTGTATAGAAGAAGATACAACGCTAAAACTAAGAAGCTTTACCAAAATTTCACCAAAAAAGTTCTTGTTTTCTAAAATTGATGCTATTATTTTTGATGTTACCTTTTTAAGGGTCAATAGCAATAAATGAGTTAAGTTTTCCACGTGATAGGGTCTATAATTACTAGTATCTCACCTTTTTACTTATAGCCAGATGTGTTTTTTATAATATTTGTTTTGTTGTATAAATTACATAGCTCATTGGTCCCATTTCATCATTATTACGGTTGAAGGAATTCCAAAGATAACAACAATTTTCTTTTGATGTTGTTTCCAACGTTACATTTTTTTCTTTGCAAGAAAATCCTTTGATAAACTTTACGAAACATAAAACGTGCACTGAAAAATATCTGAATAATTTGTAATTTTTTTATTTACTTGTTTGTATGTTTAGGAATATGTCCTAATCACATTACCGCCATTTTAGTAATGCTATTATTTACATATTTTTTTCTTTTTCTTGCAGGTGGTTCGGATAGCAATAAGGGGAAAAGTAAGAAATGGCGAAAAATACTACAATTCCCTCACATATCACAGTGTATACACTTGAAAGACAAATTAGGTGAGTTTGTTATAATAATAATAAATTACAAATATTTCTTTTCTGAAATTGTAGTAAATTAATGTCAAATACATTAAAATATCTGATAATGTTGAATTAACGAAAAATGTTTAATTAAGTTGCAATACAATGAAAGAAAATCATTAATTCAATGAAATACATTCATTAATGTTATGTATTATTTTCATTGTGGCGATGAAATAGTTTCATTACTTCTTTATATTTGCATGTATAAATTATTTTATGAAATTTTCGTATTAAATTATGCAAATGCTTCATTAATGTTAATCGTAAAGAAAATACATAAAATATATTTTATTTTCGAATAATTTGAAATGAAAATGTTTCATTGAGTATCATTGCAACTCATTTATTTGATTAATGCAATGAAACATTTGTATTCAGTTAATGAATTGCCATTCATTAATGTTATGAATTTTTTTTAACGTAGGAAACTGTTTCAAAAATTCGCTCGCTGATTCAAAATGCATTCTTTTCGTTTTGTGCTCATTTTACGAATGAATTTATGGCGATAAATTCTTTACCAAACAAGCATTCCCCAAAGAATGTTCGCACACAAACAAGTGAGAGCACACAAAAACGATCGTCCGTTTCGTTTGGTGATTGAAATTCTTTCTGACATTCTCTCACGAATGAAAACAAACATTCCCGAATTCTCGCGAATGCTCAAAACAGCAACAGCAATAACAAACAAGCGTTTGTGAACTCAATAGTTGTTGGACATGTGTTTTGTTATTCCACACCAGGCACGGGCAGGGCGTAAAAAATCGGTTCATTCATTCGTTGTGTGTGTTTACTTTTTTTATGATATTTTTGTTTGTTGTTGTTTTTAACAGTGCTCGCGGGAATTCGCCAACATTTGTTTTTTGAGTTTTTCAAAAGAATTTTCTTCAGCAAAGAATACTCGCGAATGAATGAATCGACGACGCTTGCAGCGAAGTTTTATCGTTCGGGAATTTTTCGTGCAATGCGAACATTCGCGACAGGTTGCAAATGCTTGTTCATTCTTTGTAACTTTATCATTCGCTATAAATTGAAAACATTCGAATTCTCGCGCGTGAGCATTCGTGAGAAAGAGTGTATTTTAATCATTCGTCGCACCCTGATTTTTAATGTAAAAACATCAATCATATATAATTTTTGATCATTATGTAATGAAAATTAATCGTTTAGTTTCAATGTAAGGCAATCATTTTGTTAATACAACTTTCGTCAATTTTATGAATCACTTTCATTAATGTTGTGAACATTTCTTACTAGAGTTTCAATGGATTCATTAATTACTAGCGTAAAGAAAACCAGTGAGTGGAGCAGTATAGTCGGACGGGGCCGACCACACGATAGCTCTGCGGTCAACAGCAATTCCTCCTCTCTTAAAAGTGTGTGCAGCTCTGAGGTTTTTTGCGGAGGGAAGTTTTCAAAAGTCCCATGGCAATGACCTCAACCTTGGCATGGCTCAAGGCACAATGTAGGTGGTTTTGGCCGAAGTTGTCCTGCTAATAGAGAAAAAAACTGTGCAAAAATTGGATTGTTTTCAAATTAAAAGAGAAGGAAAAAGGGAAGAATATTTTTTTATTCGAAAACAAAGTTCCCGGGTGTTGTCGGATGTATAGATGGCATGCACGTACATATCATGGGCCCAAAAGAAGATGTACGCCATTTTGTAGTAATTTTAACCGTTATTCCAACCGAATTTCGGTTCTTATTGCTAAACACAACTACACAGCAACCAGAAATAAATGGTTGCCGAAAAATTATATTTGAAGCAACTGAAGTTGACAACAGTTGCCATCCATAATTCAAATTTGGGAACTGGCAACGCAACTAAACTCTGGTTACCATCCGTAATCGACCCAAAAAATAAGTTTCATCCAAAAGTTATTATCTGATCATAACCGATAATCATAGGCGTTCTCCATGACCATAACTGGAACCTCATGGAACATTTCAAAGCGATCCGCGGTATATTTCCGCCCTATAGTGTGGTAATGGTTTATTAAATAATATCTGAATACGTAAGCACCTGTAAATATTTACGTATAACTCCCACATCCGAGTACCAATTTAAAAGCCAACCACTCCTCTTGGATATACTATCGACTTGAGGAGAATACAAATTTTGTCATTTTTCACACAAAAGTCAGGGTCTTTTTTACCCGCTAAATATTGACCGATCTTTATCAAAGCAGGCATGCTTATTCTTTGGCCCAATACCCTTCTCCATGTAAACCCTTCTACATGCAATTTCGTGAAGATTGGTCCATAACTGTGGCCTGTATCGTGTTTATAAATTATAATGGGCAGACGGTCGGACGGACACTTATTTCTAGATCGACTCAGCTAGTCGAGATATGACGATCGGTGTACTTAAAGGTGGGTCTAGGACCAATATTTCGCGGTGTTACTCTCTTGGAGCTGCACAAAGCTATAATACCCTGACAACATATTTGTTTAGGATATAAAAATCATAAATATATTTTGAATAATTTTTTAATGAAAATGTGTCGTTGAGTTTCAATGCAAAAACTTCATTAACGCAATTAGCTTTCATAAATGTTATGCACTTTTTTATTAACGTATACATTCAATAATTTTAAGAGTAAAGGAAAATTATTATTATTATATATATATTTTGATAATTTGTTAATGAAAATGTAATAATTTCCTAAAAGAAATGTAATAATTTCCTAAAAGAAATGTAATCATTTCCTTAATTTAATGAAACATTGTAATTATAAGAATATAGTACATTGTATAAAATATATGTTTTCCTTTTTACACAGACATAAGCTATGGTTATGTGATCGATCAACAGCCCATCGGACGCGAACTGTTTCGACAGTTTTGTGAAAGTAAACGGCCCCTATACTTCCGTTATATATCATTTCTGGATCAAGTGCAAAAGTAAGTCATACAAATACAACAATCATATGCAATATTCTTCTTGTGTCTGTTTTGCCAATCTAAAATAAAGTTCATATTGTATTCTTCCCAACAAAATCTATAGATATGAAGTGGAATACGATGAGAATCGTATAACAATAGCCCATGATATTGGTTGTAGATTTCTGGATATTGAGAGTCCATCGACGGTGGTACTCAACAATGGCAATGCCGAGGAAAATAATGGTGAAACGCAGCCGGCGCAGCAGCAGGATGATGGTGAAAAAATTCTCACCTCCGATCCTGAGAATATCACTACAACATCAACAACAAATCTTGTAGAGACTGAATTATGTAACAATACCACCGCCAATATTACAACAGCAACAACACCACCAACAACAACCAGTAGTAGCAGTAATCATAAAAACTTTCATCATCACAATGGTGAGGAGCAGCATGAGGTTGGTAACTACAATGATGGTGGTGGTGGCGGAGTTGATGGAGGTGGTGGTGTTATTGGCATCGATGAAGTTGATCGTGTCAAAAACTGCATTGATTCCTCAACGGTATTGCCGCCACAATTAAATGGAAATTCCACAAATGCCAATAAATCTCCCCTGGCTTCCGATGAATTCGTTTTGGATGTCCTTAACGATGATCTCATTTCGAGGGTGCGCAGTAAAATCACCAGCGGCAGTAAGGAGCTGTTTGAACCCTGCGTCAAGGCTGTCAAAGCGTTTTTGGCCGGCGAACCATTCCGAGAATTTGAAACTTCGATGTATTTTCATCGGTGAGTAGTGTTGAAAATGTTATAATTTTAAACAATGTTAGGGGGGATTGTTTGATGCTGTCTTATAACTAATTCCGATTGACTTGCAATTTTACACATCTTATGTGTTAATCAGTTCAGAAGTTTCCGTCATTTTTAACTTTTGTATTTTGGACAAGTTTTCCAATCGGTGTGGCCGTAATTTTAGTGGGGTGGAGGTCCATTTTTGGTATTTTATTTTTTAAGAGAGCACGGTTGAGAGTATGTTGTGAGTGAGTATGTGTTAGTGGAGTACGGGGTTCTTGAAAAATCATTTAACTTTTCGGAAGAGGAGGTTCAAGGATGGGCAAGCAAAGTGGAGGAGCCGTTTCCCTCAAGCCCCTGGGCCATTGGTGTATGTTGTGTTTGTTTTTCGTTTTTGTGATTTTTTATCCAATTTCTTTTTTAGTGTTCATTCACTTGAGTTGATGGTGGCAGGTATAAAAACCTCCCCTGAATGAAGTTCCTTAGCTAGAGTAAAAGAAAACCCCAACATAACGCCGCATTGGACAGAATATGGCGCCCAATCTAAAAGCATTAATGTCTTCCAGATATTATAAAATTAATCATGTACAATAACAGCGAATCATTGTGCAATAGACAATAGGGTTAATTGTTGCAGGGTTAAAAACCCCTCCTGAATGAAGCTGTTTCTTGAGATAGTGTGGAACCTCGCCATAACGCCGCATTAGGCAGAATGTAACAACAATGTTGAACATATGTGGCCATAATTTGATATTGTGTAGCAAATCTACCTACCAAAAATGATAAATATCGATCCATATTTAATTTATAGGTCCCATGTATCAATAAACCCAATATTGCCCTTATCATTATGACTATGATATGATGAAATCGAAGTTTTGGTTAAGACATCATGTGTCTTTGTACCAAATCGGAGTCGATGTGTCTTTGTACCAAATCGGAGTCGATGTGTCTTTGTACCAAATCGGAGTCGATGTGTCTTTGTACCAAATCGGAGTCATATCCGTAAAGAAATAAATTCTACAAATAGAGAATATTGTCCACTCCTTCTGGTATCTCCCCCACAAAATGGTGCCTTCCTGAAAATTGACGGTACAAACAAAGTAATATTTCCTGAGACCTGTCGATCTACTCCTAAAGAATGAAACATTTTCGAGATTTTAAAAACCATAACCTTATTCAGAATTCGAGTTGACTCTACCTCGGTTCCCACACAAAAGTATCAACATTTTAATGAAAAATAATGGAATGGAGTAAGCAGAGTATCTAAACTTTGTATGAAGCATTATTTATACCAAACCTTCATGGTATTTAAAGATGGGGCCTGTTGATCTAATCTTGTTGATTCCTCCCTCTCCCACAATGGTTTAACATTTTTTAGATTTGTAAATATTAACCTCATTGAAAATCCATTCCTGCTGTTGCATCCCCTCTTATCCTGTTTTCCTCTTTTGCACATCCATTCGCTCTCGAAGTTTTCCAGAAGTATTGTCAATCTATCCCTAAATGCTTGTTGCGATATATGCGGGAAATCCGCAGGGCCGACTATATGACACCCTTCACCCTACATATGTTCCTTACAGTTGTATGTCAATTTTCCCTCGATGGAACATACTCATATCTTTCTGCAACCTATGATAAATTTAATTTCATTCGGGCAGATTTAGAGTCGTCTGCGTACCATGGGACATATTTATGAAAAACGATTTATAGCAAAATTGATACACGCTATTCGGTACGCTGCCCTGTTAAATACATATGGAAGCTATGGCTGCATCTGCACCAATTTCAACAAAACCTAATAACTTCATTCAAGTCTCAATATGATACGTTGTGCAAAATTTCGTGTTAATTGGACAACATTAGAACATTACTTTGGCGCACCATTTACCTTAAATTGGACGAAAATATATATGGGAGCTATATCCAAATCTGAACCGATTTTCACGAAACTTAGCACACATCATTCTAGGCCTAATTCAGTACGCTGTGCCAAATTTCGTGCAACTCGAAAGATATTTGGGGACTTTGGTGCTCCATTTACATTAAATCGGACGAAAATATATATGGGAGCTATATCTAAAGCTGAACCGATTTTTCCCAATTTCAATAGAGTTCGTCCTTGGGCCAAATGAATGAGCTGTGCCAAATTTCATCCAATTCGAATAATAAATGCGACCTGTACTTTGTTTACAATTTAACATGGACAGACAGACGGGCGGACATGCATAATTCGACTTAGAAAGTGACCCTATGCATATTCTCAAAAGGAACCATGTGTCTACTTCGTTTCCTTTTGCCTGTTACAAACATATGCACAAAGACATAATACCCTGTACCACAGTGTGGTGAAGGTTATAAAAAAAGTGATAATCTCTTCCATTCCCTTGAAGAAATTGGAAGCACTACCTCATTCTCGATTTTAAATTTTCAAGATTTTCATTGGGCTGGTAAATTAATGCCAATACATGTTAAGGTTTGTAACTTTACACATATATAATTTAAAATTTAAAACAGAAAAAAAAATAATTTGCTGAATTTTGGTGTTTTTTTTTTTTTATGGTTAAAGATGGCTGGATTGATAACTCCTCAATGAAACATCGGAATCCGAAAATTTCAAGGGTGTTAAAAAGAGTACATGTCTGGCTCTCGTATGAACTAGGACTATTTTCTTCGCTCAAAAATTAACAAAATGGTGGTCTTTTGATTTTTTTTTTTTTTTTTTTTGAAATTCGCCTATTTTTTACTACTAACTAAGCTAACAAATAATGAAGTTCTTAACCGATTGGCTCTATCCTAGTTCAACCGATTGGATTATTGTTTTTGAATTACCGTGCCCTCATTCGTACAAATACTGCTTCGAGAAAAACGCTTTTAAAGTTTGAGAATTACTCTTGCCGTCTCTTGATGCTGACACAATAAATCGACTATATCTTCAAGAGTTCTTGATATTTTCACTTGAAATTTCGAAGGGACATTCTTGAATTAGTGTAGATTCTAATTAAATCATTAAATTTTTTGACAACGAGAAGTGACTCTTAAGTGAATTATTTTACTACATATAGAGCCCGTTGAAAATAGAGCAGTCCCTTCTTAGAGCCTTCATTATATAAATAATATGATTTGTTACGATTTATTTAGACTATATAAATAGGAATATTAAACATACACCACCATAATATCATAATACCATAATATCTTTGTTTTTGTTTTTTCTATTTTGAGTTTGAGTATCGCTGTTGCCATATAACACCAAATACTCGTACCAATGACTGAAATTAAATCGTTGACATTGTTGCTGGCTGATGGTGTTTTTTTGGGAAGTGGGTGAATAAATATGAGATTACGTCAAAGGGGTTTCCCAATGAAAGATATTTATAAATATAACCACAACTAATAACATTTGTATAAACACACACCACAAAACAAATCTATATAATAAAATATTTGCACTTGCAAAATGATGCCACAGCTAAAATATTTGTAGTGGAATTTTATATACATATTTATTATTATTATTCTGGAATTTTATTAAAATATTTTTGCTAATAGTTTTCATATAAAACCCATATTTATTTTTCTTAGTTATTTACAATGGAAATGGCTGGAGGCTCAACCAATTACATACAAAACATTTCGTATGTATCGTGTACTGGGCAAAGGTGGCTTTGGCGAAGTTTGTGCATGTCAGGTGAGTATTTTTTATGATTTTTATTAAATTTATTAAATATTAATATATATACTCATTTGTATGGTTTTTTAGGTACGTGCCACAGGGAAAATGTATGCTTGCAAAAAATTAGAAAAGAAGCGAATTAAAAAACGCAAAGGCGAATCTATGGTCTTGACTGAAAAACAAATACTGCAGAAAATCAATTCCCGTTTTGTTGTTAATCTGGCCTATGCTTATGAAACAAAGGATGCTTTATGTTTGGTGCTAACAATAATGAATGGTGAGTTTGGCTCAAATAGTATTATGTTATATAAATTATTGTGAAGTTCGAGCAGATTTTGTTTGAGCTCAAAAATGAGATTTGCATTTAAAGTACTTGAAACCAGTTGGACCCTTATATGAGGTCTATGACTTTGTAAATTTCTGTCAGGAGGCTTCTTAACCACTGAGAGGTACTACCACCAACAAACGACGACCCGAGTCTTACTCGGTCAACGTCTGTCACTACATAATCGAAGTTGCAATGGAAAGGGCGAAGGATCATTCATGTAAATGTTTTTATTAATTCCTCTTTCGAGATGAGCTACATGATCGAAGTTGCAAAGAAAAGGAAAGTCTGAGAGATACTACATTCCCACCATTATGTGACGCGTTTTGCGTTTCGTTTTAAGTTCAGCAAGATGATAATATCGGACCTTATACTTCCCAACAATATCGTTTTTCATACTCTAAGAGCCCGGAATGCCAACTTTTAGACCCTTCGATTAGAAAAATTAAACCTACAATATAAAGAAAATGGGGTCGTACCATTATATGAAGGCTTTCTGCGGTTGAAACAGCGCCAAATATGCCAAAACATGGACCCATGTTGACAATTTTCTGGGAATAGACCTCCAAAATGCCAAGATATCTTTATATAGAAGCTTAAGATCTGGAAGTCCTTATAGACAAGGTTAAGATTAGAAGTTTTTTTATAGACGAGCTGAAAGCCAAGGTGCTCATCTGAAGGACAGAGAGTCTTTATTGACGAGCTGGAAATCACGAATTCTTTAAAGATAAGCTGAATGTCAGGGAATATTTATAGGCAAACTGAAGACAGGGAGTATTTACAGACAAGCTGATGATCAGGGAGTCTTTGCAGACAAGCTGAAGATCAGGAAGTATATATAAAGGAGCAGAAGACTGAGGAGACTTTATAGACGAGCTGATTGCTAGGGAAGCTGTATTGATGAAGCTGTATTGATGAAGCTGTATTGATGAAGCTGTATTCCAAAGGCTTTTATATAGGAGCTGAAGTCCAGGGAGTCTTTTTAGGCGAGGTGAAATCCGGACCGGCGGACGGACAGAGACGGACTGAATATCAGGAAGTCTTTACAGAGAAGCTGAGGGTCAGAAAGTCTGTATAGACGAGCTGTAGACTTAGGAGTCTTTATATACGAGCTGAAGGCCAGAGAAGCTCTATAGACGAACTGAAGTGCAGGGAGTTTGTATAGATGAGCTGAAGGCCCGGATAGTGTTTATAGACAAACTGGCCACGAAGTCTTTTTAGATGAGCTGATGGCCACCGAGTCTTTAAAGTCGAGCTGAAGGGCGGGGATCCTTATAGACGAGCTTAAGACTGGTCTATAATACCTGTCTTTGAAGAGTAGATGAAGGCATGGAGATAAAACTTTGCTGAAGACTTTATATACAAGCTAAAGGTCAAGCAGGTCTTTATAAATGTGCTGATGTCCACAGAATCATCATATCAGGGCAGAAGACCAAGGAGTTTTTATAGATGAGTTGAGGACTACTAGTCTTTGTAGACTAACTGATGTTCAGGAACTCTTTATAAACGGGCCTGCGATTAGGGAGTCTTTAAAAACGAGCTGAAGGCCAGGTAGTCTTTCTTTCTCGACGTGGGAGTATTTATAGACTTGCTGAAGCATAAGAAGTCTTTATAGTCGAGATAAAGACCACGGAGTCTTTATTCGTCTTAATAGAGGAGATGAAGAGTAGAGAGTACTTAGACTAGCTGAATAGCATGAATTTTTTATAGACTTGCCGCAGACCATGGAGTCTTTAAAGACTAGAGACCACGGAATATTTATGGACCTTCTAAAGGCCAGAGTGTCTTTATAGACTAGCTGAATATCAACAAGGTGGCCTTAAAGGCCTTAAACGATTTCAAAAACTACAGTACATGGTCTACTCCACCAGCGTAAAATTAACAGTATTTATAGATTTTATCTTGAAGACAACAGAGTATTTGTAGATATCCTGATGATCAGTGTATCTTTCTAGACATTTTATCGACATTTTCGACAACCGGTTGATGTGTGAAACCGGTTGTCGAAAATGTCGATAAAATCGGAGAAATCATACAACAAAACGGTGCATATTTAGCCTAAATCGGGCATTTCGAAGCATGTTCGATAAAGTCATATAAAAATAATGAATTTATTTTTTCCCAAACTAATATTTGGATTCAATATTTTTGAAAATGGCGATAATATATATATATATATATATAATGTAATATGTTTTATAAACTTTTGTAGAAAACCAAGATTTGTGTCAGAACATAAAACGGACTTTAACCACTTTCAAAATTTAACAACTCATATATACTGCTTCAACTTGTTGATTCCTTTAAATTTCCAATTTTTCGAATAATTTTAATTTTTATATTATTTTATATCGTTGGTATTTGTAACACAATGCGGTAAATTTAAATATTACTCGAAATGTTCATTCCTTTCCAATTGCATATAAATTTGTATTTAGAAATTCATTTTTAAATTTGATCATTTTAAACAGCTCACACAACAAACAATATTAAGCAAATACTTTGAGTACGTCAACAACATACAGGAACAGATTTTTACATTCAATTAACTCTTCCAGGTAGTTTCAAACTAATTACATTGCATTAATTCTTAGAAATGCAAAGTTCCTTACGTCTATGTACACAGTAGAATACATTTACGTATATTGATTTAGGAACCCAAAGAATTCAAATATATAAATTAAAATGTATGTATGTACAACAGGCGACATTTATTCTACACAATTTAGACTTAATATTAATTTATTAGATTTACAAAATTGTTACAACTAAGTATTTACATTGATTGTATCATTTATTTCGTACATATTATGTGTGCTATGAAAAGCGCCTTAAAGTATGCTTTATTTATTTGCAACAGGAAATATTATTAATTTCGTAGAAATCCCAAAGTCTATATGGATTTATAAAATAAATTGCAAAATTTAATTTGTAAATATGAAATGTTGTATATGTGTTGTATGTTAAAAGGATCTACACATCTAAATGATTGTAATTAAGGGGACCCCCCCCCCCTATTCTCGGGGTCAAAATTTTTGTTGATATAATTCGAATCTACACTGATTAAAGAATGTCTCTACAAAATTTCAAGTGAAAATCTCAAGAACTGTTGAAGATATATCCGATTTATTGTGTCAGCATCAAGTGACGGCTGAAGGGCTTCTCAAACTTTAAACGCGTTTTTCTCTAAACATTTTTTTGCGAATGGCGGGCACGATAACTCAAAAACTAATAATCCAATCGGTTCCAAATTTTGCAACGTTTCTCTGGGAGTGTATAGCTCTCGTATGAACTAGGATAAAGCCAATCGGTAAAGATCTTCCTTATTTTTTAACTTGGTTTTTGGTAAAAAATCCGCGATTTTTCAAAAATATTTTTTCAAAGGGCCACAATTTTCTTAATTTTAGAGCGAAGTCAATAATCCTAGTTCATACGAGAGTCAGACATGTACTCTTTCTAACACCGTTGGAATTTTCGGATTCCGATGTTCCAGTGAGGAGTTATCATGCCCGCCATCAAAAATAAGGACTTTTCTTTAATTACAAAAAACAACAACAAAACAATAACAAAATTTTTTTGTAAATTATTTTTCTTCTCTTTTAAATCTTCAATTATATATGTGCAAAGTTACAAACCTTAACCGGCATTGGTATTGATTTACCAGCCCATTAAAAATCTTGAAAAAATAAAATCGAGAATGGGGGGGGGTTCCCTTAATTATATTATGGCTTTTCATTTGTATGGTGTTTTGTCATGAATTTTGATTATTGATTTTCGACAATTTCTTATTGCTGCTGCAATGGTGTTTGATGATTTTACTGTATATTTATTATTCGCAATATTGTGGTTGTAGCATTCCTATATGTATGTGTGTTGGTCGATGATGCCTTTTAATTGAATTTCCATTCAATTTGTATCCGAGAATATTCATCATCATTGCTGAATAGAAATTTGTTTGTAAAACTAATCACATCGATGATACCATACGATGCCATTTGTGTATACACTGTGGCAGTTTGTTGTTGTTATTGTTGTTTGAATATTATTTGCAATACAATTATATAACATTCTATGGAAATGTTATCCACATTTATAGTTTCGTTTTCTTATACAATAAAAAGTAATTGATTTTCATGTTCCATTGGACACAATAAAAGTCATGACCAACTAACCGACCAACCAGCCGTCAACCACATAAATGGTTTCTTAGCATATCAAATATGTATGCCAACAATGTGTAACTAAGCTCGAGTTGGGGGGAGGCGCAAACCCAGTCATCTGTAATGAATATTATTTTATTCATAGACAGCCTTGTGGCATAACATGTTTGTCTATCTTTAAATACACAATAATATATTGGATTTTTTTATATTATTGAAACAACATTATCGTTATCACCAGCCGCAAAGACATTAATATAAATCCGATAAGGAGACTATTTTTTAAATATGAAACTATTCCGACCAAAATGTGATGTGAAGAGCGTATTAATGTGCGACAAGAAATATGTTTTTAATACTTACTTGCTTACTTAGATGGCTTGTTACAGAATGGTTGTTCCATAAGCCAAGCTTAAAAAAGATTCCTAAACGCGTTGGTCTTGTACACATCTCCTCCAATTTAAAAGACCATGCTCCAAGATGTTGTCTTCTACTTGGTCTTTCCATCTAATTCGTGGCCTTCCCCTTCTGCGTGAACCATCAGTAGGCTTGCTTTTATATGCCTTTTGGGCTGGGGCATTCTCATTCATTCGCTCAACATGGCCTAGACACCGTAGTCGCTGCAGCTCAATACGACTGACTATGTCGATGTCCGCTCATAAATTCTAAAGCTCGTGGTTCATTTGACGCCGATATTCACCGTCGACGCAGATCGGCCCAAGAGCTGCCTTATCTGTTTGCGCAAGTGTCCATGCTTCAGATCCATATAACAGCACGGGTAGTATCAGCGTC